TATTTTACTTCCTAGGTGAGTATGTTATGTACGTTACTTGTCTGTCATTTTTGCAGCACATGATGCAGTGTGTGTTTCCTCTTTCTCTGTGTTGGTTACTGTTCAGCTTGTTACACCTTTACAGTTGCTTGTTTGTGCAGTAGGTGAGTGACTATTTACAGTTGCTTGCTTGTGCAGTGAGTGACTATTTACAGTTGCTTGCTTGTGCAGTGAGTGACTATTTACAGTTGCTTGTTTGTGCAGTAGGTGAGTGACTATTTACAGTTGCTTGCTTGTGCAGTGAGTGACTATTTGGGAAGTATCTGCTTAGTCCTATATGCTATTTTAGTATTTTAGATTAGTATCTGTGGTAGAACCTTTGTTATAGCCTCACCTGGTGTTGCTGTGTGATCAAGAAGGAAATGGAAACTGCCTTCCTCTCCATCTGTTCGTCCCTCCTCTGCCTTGCTTGTGGCTTCCTCTGGCAAGTGTCAAAAATTCGGTAGGTAGACAATGTCAGAATTTGGTATTTTTTTATTTGTTTAGATGTACGACATATGCATCAGACATTACAGAGAAAACTTGGTGGAAATCTTTCCCTTTCTGGAAAGCACTGTGAACAAGAAAGCTAAAGTTCTTCCTGGTGCTGATACAGTCAGCCAAGAACTTGACTCTCTTAATGAGCAGTATACATATCTGGTTGATACTGTGTTATCATATCTGAAGAACTTACAGGAATATCTGTCTGGACATAGAGAGTATCAGGTATGTATATTAAAATATGGATATTCCAATGCATCTGTTTTTGTATTTTAAAACCTCTTAAATATTGTAGTAGTAACATTTCTCTTGAAAAGAATTGTATAATTTCATTCCTGTGACATCTTGACTGTGGCTGAGCTTATTTTTGTATTTTAGAACCTCTTAAATATTGTAGTAGTAACATTTCTCTTGAAAAGAATTGTATAATTTCATTCCTGTGACATCTTGACTGTGGCTGAGCTTATTTCTGATGTTTGATAAAACAAGGAGTGTTTAGTATCCAAAACAATAAGAAGAAACAGTATTGGTTATTGAAACATTTTTATACCAATAATTTCAGTTGAAAGAATGATTTGTAGGAAAATTGATTGCTAGTAATCGATAAGGTTTCAGAACTTTATCGTTTTGGATGTGTTTGTATATGTGCACCAGAAAGCTAACAGTGTTCGACAATCATCAGTATACTACTTAAATAAGATACTTTTCATGTATTTTAAACATTATCCTGCAAAAGTTTGTAAACTTGGTTGAAAATTCAACAATAAGAACCATTTTCTTTTAAATAAAATTATATCTTTAACATAGCTGTTGTGTTTAAATAATGTCATTTTCTGAAGTTGTCTTGTGTCACAGTAGCCTTCAATATCAGGTCAAAAAGTATGTCGTATGAATAAAAAAAACTGGTGTATAAAAAATTTGATGGATTATTGAATAACCTTTCATCACAATTTTTTTAATTATTTAGACCAGAGTTTTAATATAAAATTCAATAAGCTAAATTTGTTTTACACACACTTTTTCTCAACAAACGCAGTGATTATCTAAGGAACGAAATAACTTCTTGGTATAGTTTGTGTTTATTTTCAATGATAAGAATTACTCTCTTCGAGTATATTTCTTCAGTGATTTGGTTCTCAGAAGGTTTAGCTTAAGGATGATCAAAATAAAACTCTTTTTGTTTTTTAATGGTTTTTGTTTATTTATCACTGAACCATATTGTTTTCAATAGCATACATTAATAAAATATCTGGTTTTAAGCTAAGTCTGTAGGGAAAACCATCTCTTGGCAGAAAAAAGCAAATAAACAAGTGTGAGAACTTTGGGGATTAGTATTCCGTTCTAAGTTTTGAAAACAAGCAAGGCAGATTGAAATCTAAAACAAACAGTCATTTATTTGTGGGCTTTTTTAATCATCTTTTAAATAAAGTTAGGTTTCAAAGTAATGACTGGTGATGTAAAGGCAGCTTCACAGTGGTAAGGTAAGTTGAATTAAAGGATAGGGTTTCTGCTTCAGAAGGACTGAGTGTGAATCTTTAGTTTATCATGCTCCAAGAAATGTTTGTGTCATATAACTCTCCAAAGAAATCCCATATTTCCATGTTTAACTAAACATGTTTACTTTCTAATTTATTTGCAAAACTCCAGTTGTTTACTGAAAGTTTGGTAAACACAGTTTAATTATGATTTGGATTATTCCCATATTCTAGAATGTATCTTTTTCTTTCTCAGAAGTTGTCAGTTTTTACATCAGTAATTGTTAGGTTTGTTCTACATGACCCACCTACTGTTATACAGTATTGAGTTGTCAGTTTACACATCAGTAATTGTTAGGTTTGTTCTACATGACCCACCTACTGTTATACAGTATTGAGTTGTAAGTTTACACATCAGTAATTGTTAGGTTTGTTCTAGATGAATCACCTACTGTTATACAGTATTGAGTTGTAAGTTTACACATCAGTAATTGTTAGGTTTGTTCTAGATGAATCAC